TAAAAGTGACTTTTTAATAGAAATGAGAAGTGTTTTGTGGGACGGATGAAAAAAGAAAGGAGAAAGGTTTTATGGGACGGAGAAAGTATATTTAAAGAGAGCCTTTTTCTTCAAACACTAAATATTTTGCTGGTGTGGGGAGTAATTTAAATAAATTAAAATGAAAAATCATCTTATTCTAGCTATCCCGAAGATAGACCTAACAAAAATGACCCGACAAATTTTTGACACGAAATCAGACCAAAACACAGAGTTTTAAACAAAAGTTATGTTGATCGAATTCAAAGTTGACCGAACCCAAAATGACCCGCTAAAAGAAAGGGTCAAACCCGACCTCACTGATCTGCTAATGTAAGAGTTTTTCAAAATCTTGTACTTTACTATGAAAAATAATGTTATAAAAATAAAATTATAGTCAAAATTTTTTCCTTACTACTCATTTTATACTTTCAGATAAAATTCTAAAGATATTGCATAATTATTTCATTCTTTCCCTAAAAATATGCATTTATATACCAAAAAATTACTTCAGAGTTCAAAATAAGATAAAGTAATAGATTTGATTCATACGTTTTTATGTTTTAAATTTTTACTTAACGTGAAAAGGAAAGTTTTAATATTAATTTAAAAATTTAAAAATTAAAGTCATAATCTGTTAGGTCGATTCGAACACGATGATACTGGGTGAGTAACATACCGTTTGACTCGAATTGACCTAAGTCGAAATGACTCAAACCCAAACCACTATGACAGACCTTTTTGCCACCTGCAGCGGCGGACAATACAAATGTTACTGAAAAGAAATAAAAAAGAGCCTTTATAATGCATGGGACGCGGGGTAGGTATATATCTACTGCTGTAATGACGGAAAGTACGTAAAGAAACTTAGGATGCAGTGGTACGAGCGAACACTACTAAAATCTTTTGGTTTTAAGATTAGAAGAGGTTGTGAATTAATGGCGCGCGGCTACCCTCCTCTCGATCAGCTCCCATGCACGCGCAAGCCCTAATTAAGGAGCACTATGTAATTTCTCCTCCAATATATATATATATATATAAATAAGTGCAACTAGAGCAACCTCTTAGCTAGCTTAGCTTAATTGCTCCTCCTCCACTAGCTACGTACGTTTTGATTTTTTTTTTTTTCAGTTCAGAAGACCAGAGCTAGACATGCGGCGGATGATGGTGGAAATGTCCCTTTCCGACCATGCGGCGGCTATGGCGGCTCGGGCCAGTGATGCCATATCATTGCAGCATTAAGGAAGTCTTTCTTCCAAATGCTGGTGATGATCGCGGCCCTAGCCTTGGGAAACTTCATTGGGGGGAGCTTGAAGAATCAGGGGCCATTCATGCTTTTGATCTCTCTTTTTGCTGCATCGTCAGTAGCCAAGGGTTTGATTGTTTGCATGTTCAAGTTGAAGAGGGTTGGAAGGGAGTGGGAACACAGTTTGGACAGCGGTGGCATTGGTCGTGACTTCCTCAAGGGGTACTACATCAAAGCTTTCACCACAACTCTCTTGACTTTGATGATGATTCCCATTCTGCTGCTGCTGTTCCCATAGATCGAGCGCCCTACTCTATATCACCATGTCATGTTTTATCTCATTTATCTTTTCTTTCTTTCTTTTTTCTCTCTTTTAATTTGATGAAAAACTGCTTCATTTCTTTACTTTTTGCCATCAATCTATTGTACTAGCTCCATCTGTTTATTCGCAATATTATTTTTCTCTTTTTGATTACTCCTAGTTAATTGGCATTCATCATCATTTCAATCTCCCAGTATCGTCCATCATTTCATCACTATATAAAAAAAATGGGCACCTGTATTAATTGGAATGAATAATCATCAAGATCGGTCGAAAGGGAGGGCGATCGATGCGCATCTTGGTTTGATTTTTTAGGTCCAAAAAGTAAAATTAAAACTGTTTTCGAATAAAGCCGGGAGACCAACATTTCAAGCTGGGCCATGTTTTGAGGCGAAGCAGCGTAAATCTTTTTAAACAAAAACTTTCAATAAATTACCTACTCCCTCTAAAAATTATTTTCGTTTTACAACAAAATTATTTTGAAACCATTTTTGTAGAAAATGATAATGAGGAATATTTCTATATTGAATTTTTTTGTTTGATACAAAGAATCAACCATCTTTATAGCAAAACATATAAGTACATAGAGTAAGTTCTATTACTACAATAATTCTATTCCAACTATGACAAGAATAAAAAAAACTATTAAACAACCTAAAACATATTCTAACAATAAAATTAGAACAAGAAAAAAAACAACTCGATAAATATCTTGGATAAAACTTTGATGTGTTATGCCAACGACGGATGAAGGCTGCTGTCTAAGCAAACGAACAACCAAAATTTGATAATGAATGACTCCCGCGCGGGACGACAAACAAATGGACTCGGACTGAGGAACGATGACCGACCCCCACAAACTGACATGTCCTACGTACGACAGGTTGCGACTGAACATCTCTTGAATGCCGTTGTGAGGATGGGCAGCTACCGCCATGCCGTCTCTCTATTTCATGATATCTTTGCCTCCGGAGTTCTGGTAAATCAGTTCACGCTGACCATTATTGCTGCATGCGAATTCCCTTGCCTGTTTGCATGCATCAAGTAGACTTGGGCCGGGCTTTGCTATGTTAGGCACCCACTTGAAGCTCGGTCTAGTGCCCAATGTGGTTTTTTTCACCACGTTACTCAGTGGCAGACCCAGGATAAGGTCTAGGCATCCCTTAAAGTATTACTATTAAGGAAACCAATAACGTACACGTTAGGAGAGGGACCAAAGCTCCGAAGGTAAACGAGGAAAAACACGTTCGAGGGGACCAGTCCGAACCCCAAAAGTAAGTAATAAGACAAAAATCAAGTTATAACCAAAGCCAAAGAAGGGGGAAGAAAGAAACAATTGAGCCTGACACACCATAATAAACCTTCTGCGCTGCACCTATTCTGGATGGCCAGGATGGAATCAAACCTCAACGATCCTCGTATGCACTCCTCAAAACCTTGAGGCTAACCCTCCCCTCTTCGATACGAGCATTATATTCCCCGTTCAATTCTGGGTTGGCGTGAAGCGTAGGAACTTTGCCTTTCAATTCTTTTCGAGACAGATAAAAGAAATTGAATCCGAGGTCTATAAGTATGTCATCTCGATCTTATCATCCATTTTTTCCTTCTGTTTTTCCAGCTCCAGTACGTAGAATGTTTTCAGGGACGAAGCGAGTACTTGTTATCTTCATCACCATGAAGATTGTATATAAATCTCGTGTATCTAAAAATAAATGATCAATTATACTCCCTCCGTCCCAAAAAGATTTACACGTTTTGACTAAACTTGAAATTAAGAGAAAGATAATTTTGAGTTGACTTTCCAAAAATACCTTTGATGTGATGGGTAAAAGTAGGATGTGATGTGTAGATTATTAGGAAAAAAGTATGATGTGATAGGTAGGGTTTGAAAAAGTAAGGGGTAAAAATGGTTTTTTAATAGAAATGAGTTGGAGATTGTGGGACACGATTTTTTTGAAAGGTGTAAATCTTTTTGGGACGTAGGAAGTAGAATTTACTTTAAGAATTAATAGAAACACTTTTCAAAATTTTCATTTTTCATAAAAAAAAAGAATGAACTCCATCTTTGTAGGCTCATTGCTTTCATTAGAATTGGTTTACTTAGAAAAAGATAAATTTATCTTTGTGATAGACAACGATGTAAGTTTGAAAAAATTGGGACATGCATACGTGCAAATCAATAATAGCAGCCAGCTATCCCAAAATAGGTCACCATAAAAGTACAAATTCATAAATATATATAAGTAGAAAACAACAGTTGTCGGTAATACTAGGCAACAAAATCTAGGAAAATACATGACAAATTTATAGATGAATTATCATATATGCTAGAGGTACCTCGTGAAGTTTACTTCAAATACTCTCTTGGTTTCATAAAACTCTTCCCCTTTTATTTTTTTAAATTCCCTAAAATACTTTCACTTTCTATTAAAAAATCATTTTTACCCTTATTTTTTCATATCCAACCTATCATATCATGCTTTTTCAGTAATAACCAAACTATCACAACTTATTTTTACCCCTCACATCAAGTGCAAAATTGGAAAGTCAACCAAAATTACACTTTCCTTATTTTTGTCCAAAGTCAAAAGTGGAAGTATATACTAAAGCTAGCTATGCACTAACAACACTAACATTGCAGAAAGACCAAAGTAGGACTAAAACATTGAAGATATACCAAAATAGGACTTCCATGTTTTTATTCTCGAAATAAGACTTACATTACCAAACACGGTCTCGTATACATTACCAAGAAAGTATAGTAATTTGCACATGTACACTGCCACATTACCACAATACAATGTCACATTACCACAATGCAAAAAATCCTATTCCGGGAAAAAAACATGAAAGTCCTATTTTGATACTTTTCTCTATGTTTTAGTCTTATTTAGGATGATTTCTATGGTTTATACTAGTGTGATAAACAAATTTTGTACTTGTTAGACTCCTCGCACACCTCTAGAAGGGGGGGTGAATAGAGGTGTTGCCCAAAAGACCAGTTTTTTTGAGCAGAAATGTTCTTCACGAATATTCAATAAAAACAATGCACCACAAACAAAATAAAGTGAAGGATAAGAGCAATGCACACACGATATATACTAGTTCGGCCTAAATGCCTACATCCAGTCCCCGAAGCAATCGTGCCCAGGCTTTCACTAACCCGTCAAACTTAATAGAGTTTGACAATACGAATACAACTCGAGAACTTGATTTCACAAGCCTCTTATCTTACCACCAAAGTTTTGATTTCACAAAACTCAGGATTTCTTCCACCTAACATTTGATTTCACAAACCGTAAGGATTTCTAACACATGGTCTAATCCCAACACAAGAATACAAATCCCTTACAATAAAGTAAGAAAACAAACCGCAACTGATTCCCTTTCCGTTATCGCGCCGGAAGAAAAACCATATCATACCCTTGAAAATAATTGTGGACGGCGGATTTGGCTTTGATTCTGTACCATCTCGTGACTAGTTAATTGCCGGAGGAACTTCTCTAGAGTTTAGACCATCGCCCTGCGTCCCTCCTCGATCACGTCTGTTTATTGCTTTATGCCTCAAAGATCCATGGTCAGGAGCTAGGGTTTCGAACGATAACCCAGATGTCGTCTCCTTCACTTCGATTCCCTTCCCGTTATCGCGCCGGAAGAATCGAAGATGACGAATTGAAGATGAAAATTCAATTTTCAGTTTTTTGATTATCTATTTTATGCGTGAAGAATCGGATGCATCGCTGTGAGGGGTGAGCCGGTGAAGGTTTGTGGAAATCTGACGGATTGGAGTATATATAGTTGTACGTAGGGTTGTAAAACTAACGAATCGAATCGAATAATATGAAATTTTATTCATATTTGAAAAATAGTATCAATATTTATATTTATATTCGTTTTCTATTCGAATAATTATTGTTATTCGTATTTGATTTGATATTAAATTCAAGTATTCATATTCGTATTCGTATTCTTTGATGAAATACGATTTTTTTTTATTTTTTATGTTGTATAACTTAGCTTCAAAATGCATTTTAAGTGTAATTGCATCATAAATATATTTCGAGAATAAAAATATATATACTCCCTCCGTCCCCCTGTATTTGTCCACATTTGACTTTTGGAACTGTTCATCTAAGCACTTTGACTCATCAAATTCTCTCAATGTGTAAGCCTAAATATAGTCATGTGTGATCTTGTTTGATTTGTCTTAACATATAGATTATTAATATATAATTTTTATAATTTTTTAATATACAAATTACAAGATAAAATGGATTAAAGAAGTGCATTGGATGGTGTGCAAAAATGAAAGTGGACAAATACAGGGGGACGGAGGGAGTAACTCTTATTTTGGTTTATTTTCAATGTTTACTTTTACTTTATTCTTTTTCCTGAAATTAATAGGATACTAAATATAGCATGCCTAAAACAACAACCTAGTTAGATCCAATGAGTGTGGTACTATGGCTATGCAGGTTCTGGCTTTTCCCTTAGACGATGTAAATGGTGATACGGGATAGGATATAGACATCATAGAATAGCTCAACTCTCTCTCTCTCTCTCTCTCTTCTCTCTCTCTCTCTAGAGGAGCATTGCTTTCCACATGAAGTACAACTTGATTTCTGCTCCTACATTATATAGCTAGTGTGTAGTCTTTAATTGTTTGTTCTTTCTTCTTGCATGGAGAAAATGTGGAGGAGGTAAGGAGGGGTGCATGGTCCCTCTCCATTAATTGAAGAAGAGACTAGACATTTTGACACATCAATTCCCTGTCTAATTTTGTCTACAAAGCTACCCAAGCTTTAAATGTAAATTGTACAATGGATATGGCTTTTCTATGCCACTGTGCACAACTCCCCTGTTGTATAATCCATCATGGTTTCTCTTCTTCTACACATCAAAATTATTGAAGGAACTGTTTCACAACCATCACACATTCACTCACACAGTCACACTGCTTCTCAGTTTGCTTACTCATCTTGAATGTCATAAAATGACACTCGTTCTATTGGGTAAAATGATGGGTCTACCCTCTAACCCCCACCTAAGATCAAATATAGACCTATATATGATTAAAATAAATATTTCTTATCATCTAAACAAGTGTTTGTTTTTTAATAAAAAAAATCTAAAAAAAATTATTTGAGAAGATCTACAAAAAGGTTATGCACCAAAGAAGTACTCATAAAAAAATTGGACTTTTGCGAATAAATGAAAAGATTTACTCCCTCTGTCTCATTTTAAATTGTATGTTTACCTTCTTTCTCCGTCCCAAAATAAGTTGCATGTTAGTTGTTTTCGTAAAGACGTAAACTTTTAAAAATAAAATATTTAAACTACTCCTAGAATAAGTCACTCTTCTTCACCTTATCTTCTCATTCTTCATCACCCATGCGAAAAAGTAATGTGAATTTTGAAAAATCAACTCTATTTTTTATTTTCCTTAAATATGCCCAAAAGTCAAAATAGATGATTTAAATTGGGACGGAGGGAGTACTTGTTAGTCCATATAAAGTATGAGAAAATTTATACTCTCTCCGTCCCCCAGTTTTTGTCCACTTTAATTTTTACACACCATCCAATGCACTTCTTTAATCCATTTTATCTTGTAATTTGTATATTAAAAAATTATAAAAATTATATATTCATAATCTATATGTTAAGAAAAATCAAACAAGATTACACATGACTATATTAAGGTTTACACATCGAGAGAATTTGATGAGTCAATGTGCTTAAATGAACAGTTCCAAAAGTCAAAAGTGGAAAAAACTGAGGGACGGAGAAGTATTTTATAAATGGATCTTAAAACCACGAAAAAATATCTTTTACCGGAGTAATTAATTTGTATGTTTATTGCTCCTTCCGTCCCATTTTAGTGTGTCCACGTACTAGATTCTTCAATCTTTGAAATAAAGCTTAGTTTTTTAATGTTATATTTAAAGTTATTTTTCAATTGTATTTCACGGTTTTCAAAATAATATTTTTATTTTAAAATAATTATATGTTTGCGTTCAAATTATTTTTTTATTCAATCTCACAATCGTTACTTAATATTTATTCTTTTAGAACTAATATATAGATCTTAATTGGATTGTTTTTTAATGCTTCTTTAATCCCATTTTAGTCTCTTCACTTAGTGATAGATATTAGGCACGCCAATCAGAAAAGGACATCCCAATTGCAGTTCCATGGGCCAAAGGTGTTGGACTTGAATGCCGTATCCCGTATTCGTTTTAATGTGCCAAATAAATCTTCTAAAGGTATTAATATTTTCTGCACGAATAACCAAATGCTCAACCCCTCCTAACTTGATTAGCATCACCGAGAAGTACTTCTACGAGCGCAAAAATCAAAATGTAAGGGTTTTGATATTTATAATGATTCCAATATGCCCTTGCACGTAAAACAATTTTTCTAAACATTTCCAAATAAATGTTAGTTGAGGTTATTTTTAAAAAGGAACCCAAAAATTAGTTTTTGGAAAAAAGAAAATGACCTCACGGTACCTTGATACCGTCTACACGGTACCTAGTACCGCCGGTATCTACGAACTAGAAGAGTGTTCCGTTTTGAGCTAGGTTCCGCCAGAGAAAATTTGACGTATGGCGGTACCCTTGGCGGTAGGTCATACTGTGGCCACGGTACCATGGTACCGCATGGTACACGGCTGCCATGAGGGGTACCATGATCGTTGCCGGTCCTGTAGCTGATTTCAAATTCAAGTTTAAATTACTCCTAATCACTCTCCAACGGTTCTTAACGTATTCTAATCATTTTTAACCTTTCTAAATCTTATATAACTCCTCTAAGTCTCATTTTTCATAAAACATCCTATAACATTCTTAAGCCTTGTTCTTAATGTTCATCCCTTTTTTGAGTTTGAGCTTTTATTATTTTTATATATACACTCACACACAAGGATATTTTGTGATTCATTATGTTATATCTTGTCCATAAACTATTTTTGTTGATGACTGGTGCAACGTATAGATGAGAGAGGCCACCAGTGAATTATTGGAAGGTGAATGTGGATCATGGATGCCTCATCAAAACTTGTTGAAAGGTTTGTGTGCCTGGGATTTAATGCGCGAGATCATGAAGACCGATTCATAGCTGCTAAGAGTATCAGATGCAGATCAGAGGGAGTTTTTGTGCGCGTGAAGCAACAACCATCGCAGTTAAGGAAGTACTTAGTTGGATTAAAAATGAAGGCTCGAAACAAGTCATTGCAGAAATAGACTGTAAGGAGGTGTTCATTTACTCAATAGTACTATCACGGACTGGTCTTACTTTAACTCTATCATTGAGGATTGTAAGCGTCTCCAAATTTTCTGTGTAGAACATCTTAGCTTTCATTTTATTCCTCATTCTTGTAACGAGGCAGCGCATTTGTTAGCGCATAGTATTCGCTATGATAATGTTGTGGTGGAGTGGCTTGACTCACCCCCAAACTTTATTTCCATGATTATCTAATCTAATACTTTGTTCCAAAAAAATGATTTGAAAGGGGAAAAAACGTACTACTCCATTTAGAACAATGTTTTGGAAGAATAGTTAGCTATTTTGTAGCTAGAACATTTTTTTCTTTACCATAATTCAAGAAGCTATTTTAAATATTACTATGTACTCCTTCCGTGCACAAATAAATTTCTCATTCACTATTAACAAGATCAAATTTTATTTACTTTGTTGACCTATTTTCATCACTCATTTGAAAAATTAATATAGTCATGTCACCTCTAGTTTTGTAGATCTTTTGAAATAATTTTTTAATATGTAACTTTTATTTTTAAATATTACACCATTTTTCATATAAAATGATTTGAAAACAACTTCAGTCAAACATTGTAACGTGCAACGGAAAGTTTATTTGTAGATGGAGGGAGTATATGTTAATATATGGTGTACAGTACAAATATAAAATAAATATAAAACATGTTCATTTTAAGAGTGCTTTTATAAGGCACCTTGGGTACATACAATTTTGGAGATCTTCTCAAATAAAAAAAATATTTTTTTATTTAAAAACATAAATGCTTATTTAAGTTGTAGGAAAATACTTATTTTAATCATATGTAAATCCATAGTGGACCTAAAGTTCACCATAAAACTTGCCTCATTTTAAAGCTCCAAACAAAACCAAAATCTTTCTACCTTATCCAAAAGAACATTAATTATTTTTCATATTTGAGATAATAAAAAATTTGATTTTAAGTCTTAATACCCCATCTTTTTTGTTTCAGTTTTACCATGCACAATGACTTCTTTTTTTCAGATAGCACTCTGGCAGAGAAAAAGCTACAACACATATCAAGGTTTTTAATGTCGAAAAAGGGCACCTATTTCAATTTCAAACATTCAAATTCAAATAGGAGAAATTTTCAAAGAATCTTCGGCCCCGTTTGGTCCATGGAATTCAAAGTACGGAATTAGAATTGAGGACTTTAATTCCAAATCTTGGTGTTTGGTAGCACAAAAGTTATGTAGATTTGGAATTGATAGTGCAAAAAAAGAATTGAAATTGACAGAATTCAATTCTATGGAATTGAATCTCATGGAATTTAAATTTTAATTCAATTCCAATTCCGTATACCAAACAAACCCTTCATATATTTCAATTTCATACAACAAAATTAAAAAATTTCAAAGAATCTTCATATTGAAACCGGTTTGCAAGCACAAATATGAAAGAATTAGTTGTCAAAACCCATTCAATTTCAGTCCCAACTTTTCAAAATTAAGATTCAAAATTGAATCTAAACAACAACATAGAATGAGGCTCATCATCTAAGACGCTGAGGGATTGCACTATTACCATCCCTCTCTTCCAATACTATTCTCCCTCCCACTTCTCAATCTTCTTTCATTATTTTTTGTTGTGTTTTAGGATCTCTCAGTCCCTCATTGGGGATAGTTCACTTATAGTTCTTGTCGTCCCAAAGAACCAAACCCTTCGGGGGGCCATACCTGCAAAAAAATGCCGTCATCATCACCAATTCACCACCCTCAGTATGATTCTCGTAATCTTGAAACTAGTTGGGTGTTTGGCAATAGAATTATAATGCGAATCAATTGTATGATCAACTAAAAGTAAATTCCAGTTACAAAAAAATGATAACGTTTTAATGAGACAAAAATTTCGAATCCAGCTCCGTAATAGATCTTCCATATGCACAAAAAATATAATGAGAGAGCAATGAGTTGATAAAGAAGGTGGACTAATACAAGTAAAATTGATTGTCATTTAGACAAAAAAGCGAAGAAAACACACACCGAACACAATAGACTTTTAGCAGTCACCTAGTAATTATGATTCAGCCTTCAAGTAGAACAAACAAAAGCAGCACAAACACAACAAGGGTCAACGGCCCCCATCCTCTCCCAACCCACCCCAATCCCAGCCCTTGGGAGCTCTATCTCCCACTCTCTGGCCAACTTCCAGCCTTGCAACCAATCAACCCCTACCGGCCGACTACTGTACAAACCACTACTGTATTACTCAGCTATGCCTCCTTTCCCAATCTTGAATCTCAATCCCCATCCGTCCGGAGCAATACCTTAGCATCAAGCCCTTTAGACCCTAAGACCACCTCTTAGCCAGGTCAAGCCCAACCCTAGTCCAGCCCCTCACTTTTAGCCCAAAATCCAACCCATAGCCCATCACTTCTAAAATTTTTATTGTTATTTTTCTTTATCTTGTTATTATTGGCCTATTGTTATTATTGTTGTTGCCATTCTTATTTTTTATCTCTCGGCCCAATATATATCACTGTATACTTTGTTTAAAGTCTTGCTTGCCTTAGTTTTTACTATACTATAGCCTATGTTGTTTTTTCTGTTTGTTGTTTTGTAATAGGTAGTTTTCTTGTGTTCTCCCTTCTTATGATGGGTTCCGAACTTAGCCCAGTCAAGCCCAACCCTTGTCCAGCCCCTCACTTCTAGCCTCAAACTTCGACCCATAGCCCATCCCATCACTTCTACATTTTTTATTGTTATTTTTCTTTTTCTTGTTATTATCGGCCTATAGTTTTTATTGTTGTTGTCATTCTTATTTTTCATCTCTCAGCCCAGCATCTATAACTGTATGTTTTTTGTTTAAAGTCTTGCTTGCCTTAGTTTAATATTATTATAGTATAGCTTATGTTGGTGTTTTGTCTGTTGTTTTGCTAGTGCTAGTGCATTTTGCGTTCTTCCCTTCAGATTTGGGTTAGTAGTACTCTTGTGTTCTCCCTTCTTGTAGTGGAACTCGCTGTGCCAACATTGTAAAACAGAACCATGACAGCCTACATTTCTTAACTAGAACTAGAAGAGAATAATATTGCTTTGCCAGAGGCATCTCTTTAGGTTTACCCTTTACTGCACCAATATGTGCATGAATATCGAGATCAAAGAACTGGAGTTCAAATTATGAACCATTAAATGTTATTTCAAGTTTCAAGTACAGATAGTAAGATCAGACATAATGTTTATCCACCATTGACACGACTTCCAACTAGCATAATAGTTTAGTGTTTTTGTGTTTAGGCACTGGTAGGAACAGAACACTACATCTCTTAAATAAACTAGAACCACCAATACCTTATAATCTGATGATACAGGTTGGTGCCTTAATGCCAAATGTTCATCACACGATTTGAACCAAAAGAAGCCACTAGTAATTGGGCTTATCTTAGCCAGACTCAAATGCAAACCTCACATAGTCACATTGCATTTTCATTGACTTTGTTTCATTCCATTTGACAGTTAAGAGAAACAATTATGTGTTCATGTTTTAAAATATACCGAAGAGAAACTACCATATAGAGATACTAAATATAAAGATATGTTACAATAGCATGCCACAACCAAACAGGGAGGAAAAGAGAAAGCAAGAGTACAACTTACTCTATAGAAGACTTTTCCCATAATGAGACCATATGGGAATGGCCCAAGTTGCCTTGAATCCTTAGATGCATATATATTATCTCCTTGAAGCCAAACATGCCCTTTTGGCACCTGAAATTCCCCCGACAAAAACGAGAAAACAAAGGCAACAAGGAAGAATTCATTAAAATATAGAACACATAATTTAATTTAAAGCAATCTAGAGTACCAAAAATTTAAAAAAATGATTGGAATTCACAAAATGAGAAAACAAAACAAAAACAGGAAATTCATTTCCAAAAATAATTCAAAGAAGAGAGTAAACCTTTACAGTGACAGAGCGGTCACTAAGTCCTGGTTCAGGTAGAAAAGTGACGAAATCGCCCTCCATTCCCATGATACGCTTGGTGATAAGCTTTCTAGGGTTATCAACGGATCGAACCAGGACGACGTCACCGGGACCCACCTTCCCCAGCAGCGGTGACACGCGTTCCACCAGCAGCACGTCGCCGGTCAAATTCAAGGTCGGAAGCATGCTCGGACCGTAAACCTAAGAGGAGGGG